TTCTGCAACATCTAAGCAAGAAATGCTCTAAGTATATAATTGTACACCTGAGTATCTGCTTTCTTCTCCGAGTTTTACATAAAGGGCGCCTTCCCCCAAGTATTCAGTAAAGGGTGATCAGCGGTGAGTTGGCAAAGGCTGGGAAAAGAGATAATGGAGTTCCTAATAGCAGAGCCTGTTGATGTGGAGAGGAAATTCAGAGGATGCCAAGAGGAAGGTTTCAAGTGGCAGGATGAGTGAAAAGACAGGATACGGCAGCTCCATGAGAGTGGGCACGTGTGAACCAGGGAACGGCTGGCATTCCACTGCCAATTAAGTGCTTACTATTATGAGAGCTAAAAACTCTTCAAAATGAATAAATGGGTTAAACAGAATGGGGATTACCATTTAAGTAGAGCATTCTAACTTTACTTCAGATCATGGGAATTCTGTAAAATCACAAAGGAGAGAATTAGCTGAACAAAATAAGTTTAATGGGAAATTTATTTCAGAAGAGAAGCTAAGGAAAATTTCTGGAATTAAGTAATGACATTTAGAATTAGGAGACATTTATGTAAAAGCAATGTCCAAGGATAAAGTTAAGTAATAAGAATTTTCAGAAAGACCTAGAAAATATCTGAGATAGAGACCTGAGGCACTTTATAAAGAGGAACAAAGAAAAGTGTAAGCTCTTTCTAGGAAATAATTAGGATGTAGAATTTGACCTAAATTAAAGCAAAATATTAAATATGCTGGAGTATGTGCACAGGTGTGTGCGGGTACACAGGTGTGTGAGGGTACACAGGTGTGTGCGGGTACACATGCATGCATACACATAGTCCTTTCTACCCCTAAAGACTGAGATCAAAATGTTACTTCAGTTCCCTTTCAAGTCTAACTAGACATAAAAAAGTTGTCTATTGCCTGTTATCAGTTTATGCGTATTCTGGGTTAAAGAGAAAAATTAATATTAATTAGAGGTGTCACTTCATTGAAACGTTTATTTTACCAAGTCAGAGGAAGAGTGTTTGTTAAAACAAGATACAGCTTCAAATGATGTAAAGTATCATATATACTAATATACTAATCTGAAAGGAAATGTCAAAACCTTAGCTAGTTCTCTCATACAAAGAAGTTTTTTTTTTAAACTTCAAAATTTAAGCTCCATTCCAAAAATTAAATTACATACCAAAATATTTTCTCACAATATGAAAGCCTTTCAAACTGTAAAAGAATGAAAAATCATAAAAGAAATTTTTCAATTATACAATTTCCTCCCAAAACCTCCATTGTGTTTTTAATTCTTAACTAATTTGACTATTTTTTTTTTAATTTAACAAACTTAAGTGGCTGGAATTGTCCTGTTTTAATTTGAATTTCATAAGAAAGAGAATCACAAGGCACATTCCCTCACCATATTGTGTGTGGCCTATTTATTCAAAACATTTGATTCCATATGGATTTCTTCTCTTTTATTTATTACTTCCAGAAAGAATTGTCTCTAATAAGTTAGCAACTCAGGGGCAACCAACTTGAATTCCAAACCCTAAAAGACCACTGTACCCCAGGTCTGCCACCTGCAATATTTTCTAGAAGGACCAGGGAAGACAAAGTGCAAGCTTTTGTGTGGAATGTGAGCCAACCATGAGCTGCTAGCAGGTGGTCTACAGAGGTCAAGGTTAAAGTTCACAGAATAATTTGGAAATTATTCTCAGCTTGGATCTCGTTTATGAAGCCTGAGAATACACCCTTTAATTAGAATGCAATTTCCAAAGTAGCCACTCCCTTGACTTTCCATAGCTCAGTTATTCTCAGCAAAGTAAAAACAGCTTCAGCACACTGACAGCGAACAGTCCCCTATAAATTACGCCTTAAATGTCCAACCAAGAAGGCAGCAGGCATCCAGGCCAACAGAGATGTAAGTTGCCAAGCCTTGGTAACCACTCTTCAGAAGAGATAAAGAAAAAGCAGTCATATTCAACAGTGACTCTCCTTTGCTTCTTGCTTAGCAGCTGAGCTGTCCCATGGAAGCTTGGCAAAAAGAGTGGGTTGTGCATTTGAAAATGTTCCCACACCCCAGCCGGCCTCATTTTTCTGATGATCCCTCCATCCAACCAACCTCTCACTACAGTGGGAACACTAACATCAATTCCGTGAGAGCCAGCTGTCCGCCTCCTCCATGGTGCTCAGGGAGCCACACAGGACTCCTGGAACAGGAGCCAGCCCGTCCTGACTCACCACAGATGTTCTCCTCCTCCTGCATGGAGCTCTGAGCCAGAGTCTCCTTTTCCAGGGCCTATTGTTATTACAAAAGATTTACTGGGCCTCAAAAATGTGCTAGAAGCTGAAGCAAGAAGAAAACACACATCTCCCCTAACCTCAAGGTAAATGAAGGCAGACATTAAATTAGACAGAGATGGTCAGGGACTCTGTGGGGAAGGCCAAAGAGGGAAAGTCAGGCAGCTACTTAGACTTCAGTGTCATGGAGTTGGAATAGCAAGCACTATCATAATACTAAACTTTGAAATGCTGTCCAGAATAGAGTAAGGTTTAAAGATGATATAAAATATTCCACTCTGCAAATCCAGATATCTTTTTTTTTTTTCCTATAGATGCAGCAAAATAGCCTTTTTCTAGAAAAGTGTAACTGGGGAAATAACAGAAATGAGAGTTTTTGAAATCTGTAATTCAAATTCAGAGTCAGATGTCACCCACAAATATTTGGAAATGCTTGCCAGCTCATGTTTCCAGCTGAAGTGGCATTACTGTCTTTGGTCATTATCTTTTGTGTATCCATTCATCTGTCAGTTTTCCCAGCAGCCCCCTCAGAGGGGGTGATAAATCTCCCTATCTCTACATTCTTTCAGTGCATATTAGTGGGAAACTAAATATTTGTTCCCAAATGCTCCAGTATCCCAAGGCACTGATTGCATCATTATCTCAATAAACTATTTCCTGCAGTATTTTTGATCAGTGTCCACTTAAATCAGTATAGACAATAGAGTAATGCATTTCAAATCCAATCTCTTCTCATTTGTTTGTTTGTTTTTGCAGTGCTGGGGGTCCAACCCAGGGCCTCCTGCTTGCCAGGCAAGCATTCTACCACCAAGTTTCATCCTAGCCCCAAATCCATTCTCTTTAATGGTTTGAATTCTGTGACTAAAACAAGCTTCACCAAAAAGCACAAACAAATTTAACACATTAACACAATTCTCCACATCCTTATGCAACACTATTTGTATTTTATTTTTGTTCTAAGAGATCTTAGTCACATTTTCCTATTGTGGGCCTTTCCTAAGAAAGGAGATTAAGTGAAACAAATCAATTAAATGAAACACAAACTTAAAATTCTGTCATCTGTTACTATCAAAAAAAGAGAGAAAGAAAGAGAGATTAAAAAAAAAAATTCATATTTCCCAACAAGTGAAGTTAAAATTGTCTCTCAGACCTCTTCTAGTTCCAACTCTGGTTACTAGAAAATCACAAATAATATATGGCAGTATCTCACAAAAAGTAAGGTTTCACAACAGTACAATTAATATTTAGATAAAAGGGGAACAATATATGTTTGGGAATAAATGTTTATTTGAAATAATGTTTATTTGATTCTTTGCAAAAATCTATATAAATCATGTTCTTCACTGATTTCTGAGTCTCATTTCCTTCCTTCCTACTCTCTCCTCCAAACAAAAGTGTATAAAAACCAAAACAGTTCTAAAATTAAACTCCAATACACTCATTTTTAGAGCTTTTGTTCGAAAAGTGGAAATTCCCTTCTTTGACATTTTTAGTGTTACTGTTTGTTTTCTGCAAAGTTGGTCTCTCTGGGTTTTTTGTTTGTTTGCTTATTTGTTGTTTCTGCTTTATTCTGTTTGCCAGTTATGGCCAGGCATTAGCCATTCTAGAGAAGAGAGAAATGTCCCAAGTTTCAGAGTAAAGGCAAAGGGCAGCACAAGAATCTCTATATTATGAAGTTGGATAAACAGATAATTTACATAAAATAAAACAGTACATGATTCCCTGAAATGAATTCTCCTGTACACCTTGAAAAACTGAGACAGAGAAATGAATAAGAATTTCAAAAGATTTACTCCTATGCGCTTCCAAGTGTGGCACAATGTTGATCTTTACAGCTACATAGAATCACTCATTTCATGGCAACTTCATCTGCATCCCACCTGGGAGAACTCAGTGACCAGAACATAAGCTCCAAAGGATGGGATACAGAACTTCTTACAGAATCAGCATTCTAAAGAGCACCCAAAAGAAGGTGGCATTTCAGGGCATTCCCAGAGTACAACAAAAATATACCAATGCCTCTGTATATATTCTACAGAGTGATTTCGGGGCAAGAGTATCAAAACAAAACACACAAATAATGATAGAATATTAATTGTAAAAAATGTTTGGATCCAGGCTTATGGCTCATGCCTGTAATCCTAGCGACTGGGGAGGCTGAGGCAGGAGGATCATGAGTTCCTAGCCAGTCTCAGCAAAAGCGAGGCACTAAGCAATTCAGTGAGACCCTATCTTTAAATAAAATACAAAATAGGGCTGGGGATGGGTCTCAGTGGTCAAGTGCCTTTGAGTTCAATCCCCAGTACAAAAAAAAAAAAAAAAAAGGGAATCATTTGGCCAGAAACAGGGACTGTCATGGCATTATCAAGATATGACTTGTCCTTCAACGCCATCTTTCTTTTTTTAGTCTCACAGTCCACATTTACTTAGGGTTGTCTGATTTTCAGTGTGTGGAAATGATTCCAGAAGGAATAAAGTTTTCACTAAACCTCTGAATCCAGTATTTACAAGTCAATTCTTCCTTTCTAAAGAAAAAATGAAAAATGACAGCATTATTTATATGCCCATTTTAGCTCTGCAATTTAAAATACTAACGGAAACACTTTCTGATAAACTTTGCTTGCTGACGTACAGATTCATAGCAGAATTATATGGGAAATTTAATGGAGACCATATTATCATAGACATATCCCAAACTCAAATTTTCTCCACAGAATACTTACTTCTGATAAGTTCACCACCTGAAGGAGTCCCCCAAATGATCTGGTCTTGCGTCTCTCCATGTGTGAAGCCATTGGTAGCTTGAGTTACATCTTTTTCAATATTGTCTTTATTACATTTTTCTGAATAAAAAAAAAGAATATACATTTGTTATCATTGAACATTACATGTTTTTCTCTAATTTCTTAGTTAACAGATTTTTATTAATGTCTCCAAGTCTGTCATAATTTTAAAAAAGTAAAAGATATAGACCTCTATTGGCTACTACATCTTACTGATTCACTAACATTTATTGAGCACCTACTATCTGCTCACAGATAATAAAGATGTTCATAGTTAAGAATAATCTATTAAATTTATAAAAAAAACAAATAATTTTAACATAGCAAGTGATCTGCCATGATAGAAAAATGTGGAAGTTAGATCAAAGATGAAAGTGAGTCCACACAGGTAAGGTGCATCAAAGGAGAAGAGACTCCAATAAATGGTGGAGATGAAAGTTAGCCTACAGTTGCGAGAAGTGACTGAGGAGTACAGAGGCACACAGTTCCTCCTGTAGAAAACTTAGGGGGAAAAGTCATGTATAAGGCATCCTCAGAGAAGAAGGGTATTGGGGATATGGGAGGTTCATATGCAGGTTCAGAAACTCTCAAGGAAAAGCCAATATGTAAGGAAATGTAAAGTCTTGTGAGGAACACATGTCAAAGAAACTGCAACCTATAACACAAGGTAAAATGTGAAAAGGTTCAGAGAACTCAAAGAATTTCAAAAGAAGGAAAAAAAACTCAACTGAATACAGAGATCAATAAAGATGTTATAGAAAAGGGTGCGTGTTGGATGGTCTTTAAAAAATTAGAAGGGTTTCATAAAGTCCAGATAGGATAAAGAACAGCATAGGCAAACTCTAAAAGCAGACACCTGGACAAAGATTTTGACTCTCTGAACTATATGGTGTTTTCAGGGAGGCGTTAGGAGGTAAGACTACAAAGTTTCGATTAGAAACATAGATATTTAAAGGCCAAGATGAGATATCTGTATTTAATTCAAAAACAAGATAAATAAAGCCTAAGTAACCAGTTAAACTTCTAAGCAAAGTCACATATTAGGAAGATGAACAAATCTGTGCACACCAGTGGTTCTCAATACCAGCTGCACTTTAATTAACTTAGAAAGCTTTTATTTTTTCAAGCAGATCTGTGGGCCCCACGACCAATAATTCTTTTTCAATTAAAGGAGAATGGACTTCACTCAGATGATTCCAGTGCACTGTGTCCTTAAGACTCCCTGGAGAATGGATACATCTAAGAGGGGGAAAAGAGTAAGGGAAACTCAGCAAAGTTCATATAGAAGTTAGTGAGCACGTAATTAATAGAATAACAAGATGGAAAGAAGGATAAATATGAGAAAGTAACTGGAAGTTTGCATAGATACCAAAGATGGAGTTTGATATGCTCAAATTCTTAGTATGGATTTCATTGGGGAAACCTGGAGATTAGAAAAATGATTTATTCATTTATAAGTGTTTATGTGTGTGCGTGCACGTGCACATATATGCAATACATAGCAGATATTTAGGCATTGTGTTAGGTGAAGGGAATACAATGAATTATGAGACCTAGCCCCGACCTGCATCGAGAGGTTACAATCTAGCAGATGAGTTCATCACTGGGTATTTGAATTTGCAAGCCAGAAAAACAAAAGGCATAGTTTAAAAACAATCATCTTCCTAAACTAGATTGCTGAAGCCTTTCAAATTAACCTTTTCAAATTAACCTCACCAAAAGAGTGACTCTACTAGAAGAGTACCAAGAACAGACTATGCAGTTAGGAAGTTAGAGAAACAGGATGATGTCAAGCCATGGAAGCAAAGAAAGGAAAGAGACTCAAACAGAAGTTGTTAGTCAACCGTGTTAACATTTCCAGTGGAAGGAAAAAATTTCTGCACATGCAAAAATTTCTCATGTACCACAGGGATTTCACAACAATTGAAAAGTTCTGCCATGAAACACATTTCAACACATGAAAATAGATGGACATGAACTTAGGACTAAATCCAGAGTCTGAGATCTGTGTAAAAAAAAATAGGGTCTTCAATACTAAGTATTTTTAGAAAGTGAAACCATATTCAAACAGCAGTAAAATATAAATTAAAAGCATGCTAAACCAATATGTTCTAGATTTACGTAACATTTACTTAGCATTATCATAGGGAAAATGTAATCTTCATGAGATGTGTTAGTTTCAATTAAAATCTTTACTCTTTTAAACAACACCAGAAATCTTCCACTGCTACAGTCAACCCAAGGCCTCTCTGAGATTATCAATAAAAGAGATTTTTACACAAACTCAGTAGCACACATGAACTAGCTCCTCAGCAGAGTCTCATATGCTCCCTGCTACTGTCATGTAGCCGACTGCCGCCAGGTGTCATGCTAGTAGGCTTGATTCAATTAGTAACTTTAATTGAAGCTGAATGAAATTAATTATATAATTTTGAGCTGTTCAAGTTTAATTCCATTAAAATTAATTCATGAAACCAAGGCATTATGAAGCATTGCTGAGTAAAAGAAAATAGGTATGAATAGAGCCTCTAGACACACTTGACTCATATTTGAATCTTGTCCAATATTCGAGTGCTGAACACAGACCCTCTCGACTTGCCACTGAATAAATGAAAATGCCATGTGGTCCATATACACATGAATTTACAATTATGAAACCTCCTACTACAGGGGAAACAAAGTTCTTCCCATTCTAAATATTTCTTAAGGATGGTTTATCACACTTTTTTTTTTTAAGTTTATTTATCTGAGTAATTCTAGAATTAGATGATCCCCAGTGTCCTTTCGAGGAAAGGACACGCTTCAAAAAGGAAAAGAAAAGCTATCATTCTCTTTCTCATGATATTCAAGAATAATAAATTATATGCAACTACTATTACATCATAATGATCTGTCTATCCAACATTGCCTCCTTTGAAAACTAAATGTCTTGGCACAAAAATTAGTCTCTGTTTTTTGCTGTGATCCACAGCACCCAGCCCAAAGCAAAGCTCAGAAAAGGTTCCCAGTAAAATGCTTAAATTAACCTTTACCAATTCTCTATTTGCATAAACTGAACCATTGTGAGCACTTGACTGTTCTATGAGTTTCTCATGTATGCATATCATTTATCAATATTTTTTAAATATTTTATTCATTTTCATTTAATACCTATATGGCAGCCCCTATGTGTTGGGTATTTACATAACCCATTGAAGAAATGCACTAGAGAATAGGATTTAATTGGTGAACAGGTATAAGATGAACCATGATATTCAAACACAGAACCAACTTTAGTATAATTTTTAACTGGGTGGGTAAGCCATTAGTCATTATGATGATAGAATGTCAGTTTCTAACAACAGATTTCTTGTAACAACATAGGTTTGCTGTGTCGTTTCTGAATCGAGAAACAGAGGGCACAGTCTTAGTCGAATCAATTCCATTCTAGAGATCTGTAGTTGCAATTCAACTACTCTGTGGGCAGTTAGGCGATTTCAGCCATGTACCTTTTGTACCATTTGTAGCTTTTTCTGTATGCATCTGACAGGTACTCCAACCCAATATAGCAATTTTCTCTTTAAAAGCAACCTTCATCATCTCAACAATGCTCTTCTTCTAACCAAGGGTTCTTTACTTTGGCTCTGAGCCAGAACCACCTGTAGCACTCTTTAAGCATACGCAGATTCACAGGCCCCAATCTCCCCCAATCTCCCAGGTCCCAGTTCAGGTGGTAGGCTGCTGGAAGAGTAATGTTGTCATGGCATATGGCCAGGTTTGAAGGACACTGTTCTAAGCAAGCTCTTCTCTTACACTATACAACTATTTAGGGGAAAAAAAAAACTTAGAAGAGCATACTAAATACTCAGATACATATCTTGCTACTCATCACCTTGTCACAGGATTCCAAGTAATCAGAAAATGAAATTTTATCTAATCATCTAATTAATATAGAGCTATTTAGTTCTGTCTCCATGTCAGGACAACCATGAGAATACAAAACCTGAATTATTTATAATACTAATCAGTTCTGCTAATAGATGGGATGAAAAGAAATATGTTTTACATATTAAGATAAAAATTGAAGACACTTTAAAAATGGTACTGAGCAAAGGTTGTCATGCAGCACTGGAACCTGCCTCCAAAAGCCTCACAAGTGGACATTCCAGTGTGCCTAGTCTGGAAACAGAAATGGGGAAAGATGTTTGGATGAGGAAAAAAGCTGGGTCCTGACAGCTCATCTTCCAGCTTGGGAGACCAAACACTCATACATGAAATAATCAAGCAGCTACAAAACAAAAGCTAATGGAAACTTCCCAGGGTCATAATTCTGGCTCAAAGACTGACCAGCTGTGCAGACACTGACTGGGCCTCGCTGCCTTCATCCTCTTCATCGGGAAATGAAGGTTGAGCAGCATGGTTGCAGAGGCCTTTCTGACCCTCAAATTCTATAAGTCAGACTCTGCACAAGGCTAAACAATAGAGCCCAAATCTCCTATACACACTGAAGTGTGTTTAGAATGGAGGAGAGCAAATCATAGCAAAGCCTTTGTAAGGCATTGGATTTGAGTTAATTCTCAAAGAAAGTGACAAGCATGAATTAGGCAAAAAAAAAAAAAAAAAGTCAAAAGAAAAATATAAAGATTCTAAATGATCAATTTAAATACAATATATCCTAGTCAGAAATGACTCTCTATCTTACAAAATCAATAGCTACTTTTTGCTATTTTTCTAAAGAAGAATAGGAATGGTATCAGTCCTCTCCAATCTTGATTACTCTTGCTGAGGAAGAATGAAAAGATTCAAGTAAACAGAATTTTCACTTAATTTAAAGTTCTATAATATTTTACCTAGCTGGCATTATCCAAATTTAAAACTTTGGTAGTATCACTTAAACAATAGGGGAATCAAGTAATTGAATGGTGATTAACAAGAAAGAAAAATCTTTAAGAGCCTTAAATAAACTGGATAATAATTTATGTAATATAAATATATATAGTTTGTAATATGTATAATACAAAATAATTTATGTAATATAACATACATATGTGTGTGTGTGTGTGTGTGTATACCACAGAAGA